TGAGCAGTGTTCAGATTCACAAATTATTGATGACAAGGAAGAAGCAGACTACAGAAACTGTTCAGGAATACACTTTAGTGATGCGTGAAATTGGTAGCCGTGCGTCAATAGAAGCTGAAACTGTCATCCAATATATTATCGATGGTATCCAAGATGAATCCTCTGATAAAATAATTTTATATGGTGCAAGAAATTTCTTGGAATTCAAGGAAAAAGTGAGACTTTATGACCAAATATAAGTCAAGAAAACCCGCTACAGGAAGATATTTCGAAAGAAAGTATCAAGAGAAAAATGAGTTTGGAAATCCTAGAAAAAAAGTGGAGGGGTAATAAAGAAAGGGCTATAAGCAAATGTTTTAACTGCGGACAACAAGGGCACAAGGCAAATATGTGTCCAGACAAAGCTAAGGGACTGAAATGTTTTTTTTTGTAACGATTTCGGTCACATAGCTCCAAGATGCCCTAAAAAAGACGAAAAGAGAAAATACGGTACAGGCGCAAGCGGATCGTCGTCCGTTGGCATGAACATGGTGGAAGTTATACCTAAAAACTCAATGATCCTAACAATAGATGGGATAAAAATTAAAGCCTTGATGGATACGGGAAGTGATATAAGCGCTATCAGAAGTGATGTTTATGAAAATAATTTCCCACATATCCCAATAACTTTAAATAAAATTACCATACAAGGTATTGGTGAAAATAAAGTTGAAACTTTAGGGTCTTTCAAAAAGCAGGTCATGGTCAATGATGAAGAAATCTTTTTAACATTACATGTTATACCGCAGAATACAACAGCTTTTAAAGCTATTGTTGGCAATGATATTCTAGAACATTTGGAAGTATGCATCAAAGATGAAGGCATAACTCTGTATAGAAAGAAACAAGAAAATTTTCTAATGGAAATTCGCATAATGGACGAAATGAAAAGCAAAGAAATTAGAATGGGACATGTAAATAATGTACAGTACCAGAATGAAATTAGAAACCTAGTTGAAAATTACAAGCCTAATAAATCTAAAAATTGTGACATTAAAATGAGGATAGTTTTAAAAGATGAAGAACCTATATACCAGCGTCCTAGAAGACTTTCCATGGAGGAGAAAAAAGAGGTGGACGCGCAGATAAGTGAGTGGCTTGAAGAGGGGATAATCAGACCCAGCTGTTCAGACTTTGCAAGTGCTATTGTATTAGTGAAGAAAAAGGATGGTCGTATCCGAATATGCTGCGATTATCGCAAAATAAATAGAAAAATTGTTAAAGATCGATTTCCGCTACCACTTATCGAAGATGTATTAGACAGGCTGCAGAGTGCTAAATATTTTAGCACGATTGACTTAAAAAATGGATTTTTCCATGTCGACGTAGATGGAGAAAGCTCAAAATATACATCGTTTGTAACACCTAGTGGCCAATTTGAGTTTTTAAAATGCCCATTTGGTCTCTGTAATAGTCCTGCAGTGTTTCAGCGCTATATTTCTCACATTTTTCGTGATTTAACTAACAATAATGTGGTTGTATATTATATGGATGATATAATAATACTCAGCTCTACAATAGAGGAGGGAATAGAGCGTCTGAAGATGGTGTTCATGTTGGCAAGTGAATATGGACTAGAAATTAATATAAGCAAGTGTCAGTTTTTGAAAACCAGAGTTGATTTTCTTGGATTTATCATTGAAAGTGGTAAAATTCAGCCTTCAAACGAGAAAACCTTAGCTATAAAGAAATTCCCACAACCAACGACCTTTAAACAAATTCAATCATTTCTGGGATTGACAGGGTATTTTAGGAAGTTTATCCCTGCGTATGCTTTGATAGCAAAACCGCTAAGCGATCTATTGAAGAAGGATTTTGAATTTGTATTCCGGGAGGAACAAAAATTGGCATTTGAGAAACTTAAAGAATTGCTTCCAGCTACCCAGTTCTCTATTTATATCAGCAGAATAGTTAAACCCAAGTACATACAGATGCAAGCAAATTCGGATATGGTGCCTGTTTGATGCAGAAATCGAAAGAGGACAATACATTTCATCCTGTTTACTACATGAGTAGGAAAACGACGCCAGCGGAAGAAAAATATTCGAGCTATGAACTAGAAGTCTTGGCGGTAATTCAGGCTGTGAAGAAGTTTAGAATATATTTACTTGGTATCAATTTCAAGATAATAACCGACTGCTGCGCGTTTCAGAAAACTATGGACAAAAAAGGACCTGACAACACGAGTGGCTAGATGGGCTTTATTGTTGGAGGAATACTCTTACGAGATAGAACATAGGAGTGGGAGCAGAATGCCTCACGTAGATGCTTTGAGCAGGTTTCCCGTGGTTATGCTAATGAAAGAGATATCTAAAGAAGATGGAGTGATTCAACGTTTAAAAATAGCCCAAGAAAAGGATGATCACATTCAAACAATTAAGAAAATACTCAGCACAGAAGCAGCATATGAAGATTTCCTTTTGAAAAATGAGATATATAAATACAACAATGGTTTAGAACTCATTGTGGTACCAAAATCAATGCAAGTAGAAATTATTAGAAAAGCACACGAAATCGGACACTTTGCAGTATCAAAGACTGAGGAGCTTATAAACAGAGAATTTTTTATCTCAAAGCTGAAAGAGAAGATTCAAAACTGTATAGCTAACTGTGTTGCTTGTATATTGGGAAACAAGAAAGAAGGTAAAAAAGAGGGTATGCTGCACCCGATACCAAAGAATGAAGGTCCTCTTCATACTTATCATGCAGACCATTTAGGACCACTGGTATCAACAAGTAAAAAGTACCAGCACATTTTAGTCATTCTTTTTTCCAAGTTTGTTTGGTTGTACCCTACGAAATCTACCACAGCTAGAGAAACGGTGGACAAGTTGAAACTTCAATAGAAAACATTTGGGAATCCCACTAGAATCATCACGGATAAAGGTACTGCCTTTACGGCTCAAGAATTTAATGACTATTGTAAAGAAGAAGGTATCCAGCATATCACAATAACGACTGGGGGTACCAAGAGGGAATGGACAAGTCGAAAGAATAAATAGAATCATAGCTCCAGTGTTGACTAAATTGAGTATTAAAGATCCATTGAAATGGTATAGATACGTCGATCAAGTACAAAGAGCTTTAAATTCGACGCTACAAAGGAGAATCGATACTACTCCATTCGAAATACTCATTGGAGTAAAAATGAAAAATAAAGAAGATTTGCGCATAAAGGAATTATTAGAGAAGGAAACACTAAACAATTTTAACGCAGCCAGAGAAGAACTTCGAAAAGAAAGCAAAAAACAAATTCTTAAAGTGCAAGAGGAAAATAAACGACATTACAATCTAAGACGAAGAAAAGCAAGGCAATATAATTTGGGGGACTTAGTCGCCATCAAGAGAACCCAATTTGGTGGAGGACTTAAGCTCTGTAAAAAATATTTCGGACCCTACGAAGTTACTCAAAAGAAAGGTAATGATAGATATGATGTCGGAAAAGTTGGTTGTCATGATGGCCCAAACAAAACTTCAACATGTGCTGAATTTATGAAGCCATGGGTCGAAAACTCCAGCGAATCCGAGTCGGATTAGTTGTCAGTATGGCCGAATGTAGGATAAGTTTTCTTTCAATGCATTTATTGTTCATTTATTTACATTTATATTTAGTATCATTTTTATTCTTTTAATAACGGGCGATATTTTTACCTTGCGCAACAATGTGTAGACGTTGGAGAATTTGTGGTGCAATCTGACAACACTGGCAATTTCTGAAGCGCGGACCCGTAAGTGGGGAAATGGCGGTTTTGTCGTAGAGCACTGGCCAGTAGAGTACTCCCTGTTTTTGATGCGAGAGCGCATGCTAGCAAAAGGGGAAAAATAATTCGCAAGACGTGCGAAAAAGCCGTAGGGACAATAGGAAGACGTTCTGTTGTTTCCTAACCAGAGTTTGTTTGTAAAGTCGTGGAAGTGATCGTTTTACGATTAAATAAAGACGGTGATTGTGTCTACAGTCTAATTAGGAAGTAGTGCATTCTATTGTTTAGAAGAGCCGCGTGCTGCGGAGTGTAAGAGTGTCTTGCCCGATTATTTAGTGTTTTTTTTGTATTAAATTCCATCTTAAAGTATCCGGCGTGCCTTATTTGAAATCCAAAACCCCTAGACAACAATAAAACAACCTACATAAACATATGTCCGCAAATGAGCCATTTGGGCTGTAGAGCAAAAAAACTGTTTGGTATCTAGTTTTATTCTTCGCAATAATTAAATCACTGTTTACTTATAAATTTTGCTTTAATAGCAAATAAATTATGGTTTACAATAATTGTTCAACTCACGAACTCTTTGGAATATTCCGGGAATAGCTTCTACATGGGTACAACTCGCCAGTATCCTTGCTATCAGATCTTCCTCATTACGAACAGGTGTTTCGTAGACTAAACTTTTCAGTCAATGAACCGACGGTGTAATCTTTGCATTGGAGTAAATGGTCAACATTTTGAACAATTATTGTAAATCATAATTTATTTGGTAATAAAGCAAAATTAATAAGTAAACAGTGATTTAATTATTGCGAAGAATAAAAGTATCAAACAGTTTTTTTGCTCTACAGCCCAAATGGCTCATTTGCGGACATATGTTTATATAAACAAAAATGCTTGTTTTGATGTCCCCTACTACCCCTTAAAGTTTGTCGGTATCTTTTTGGGACACCCTGTATAGAGGTTTATTGAATACTGGCTGAGCCCTACGTGCGTTGCTACGCCTCCTCTAAAAGAATTGTTTTAAACTAACCCAAGCTTTACGCTTCAGATCTATCCCACAGGAATTGAGAATTTTTCCGGGATAAAATTAGTCTATAATACTCCCCTTTATATAGAGACTACGTGGTATAAATTCAACGAAGATCGGTTCAGCGGTGTCCGAGTCCATAAACAACGAACAAACAAGCAAACAAACAAACATTGATTTTTATATTAGTTTTAGACAAAAAGTGAGAATGTTGATATTTTTTTTAGAAGTATTGATGATATCCAAAAGTTACTTATCTTCACTCTTCAGGATTATTGTAAGTTGGAAATTCTTCCTGGCAGTTCCGAATTTGGACGCAGACTGATGCGCTTCCAATCAGAAGTTTTATTTATACGGGATGGATGTGAAGAGGGAGAAGTCTAGTAATGCATGCGTGGTCACCGTTCTCCCTGTGTTTATTGGAGTGATTTTGAGTGATGTTACGAACATAGATTACGAAGGATGGGGTTCAAAACATGGATGTATTTCAGGTTGAAATGAACCATTCGCTTGTGGATTTCTAATCCTACGGGGTGATTTTGGTATTCTGGAGGGGGTTCGAGTAGCTTAACCTCTTGAAAAAATATGTTGTAAATAATTTCATTCCTGATGTTCTGTAACTTTCGATTTATCTTTTTTTTCCCATTCTGAGGCTTCTTCTATGCTTCTTTACCCTGGCTTGGATGTCTTGACCAATTTCTTGGTGTTCTGTAGTCTGTGTTGCGTTGGGTCTGTATTTAGCTTTCGCTAACTTGATGGATCAAGAAACTCTCGATTTCTTTGTCACCTTCATTTTTCACTAGGACGGTGAAATTATCTTTGTCAGCCACTGGAGATATATTATCCTCAACTCAGCCAGTAGTTTCAATTGACATTAGCGCTTTCTAGAAAGGTGGTCGAACCTTTTGTGGCATAAAAGAAAAAATCACCTTAAGAGCGGCGTCTGATAAGAGCCAGCGCGCTATTTTTTGGGCCTTATGACATACATCAGATATTTTTTAATCACAGGTGTGCAAATTCCCTGTAAGTGATTGACTTACTTACAAGTAGATGGCGACATCTTCAATATCAATTCGTTTACACAGTAAAGTCTGTTTTTTTTTAAAGATAAAAGTCAAAATGACATTATGTTGGCAATACAAAGTAAAGTTGTCAATGCTTTCAAATTTTGTATGTAGAAAAGGCTTGTTTTGCCAACATAGTTACTAAATTTTTGACTTGGGGAATTATCTTAAAAAAAAAAAAAAAACAGATTTTAGTATACAGTGGACTGAATAATTTTATTCAGATGCAAATGAAAAAATAGTATTTCACATTATTTGCTAGGTAAAATAGTTTTTACTGTCGTTTTAAAGAAGTGACTACGCTTTCCGAACTCAGCGACATATTCAAGAGAAGCGCTGAACACACGTTTGGTTTGAGTCTCTGCTGAAAATGACAGCAATCACCTTCCTGTTTGGCAGATTTTGATTAATTTTGGAATAAAAACAATATAAATTTTCGGCAATTCTGTTATTTTCATTTATTCCAGCATTTTATGATCCGAAAGGCCCAAATAGCCGCGTCGCCCCCAAGACTACACAGTGTCCTGAAAGGGGGTGTGACCCTTAAAAACGACTTAAGCTACTTAAATCAGGAAAAAAATCTAAGATCTCTCGTGAGAACCGCAGTCCTATATTCAAAATAGTCTCCTAGAAAATTCCTTGTGGAGATAAATTATGCAGGAACTTGTGATGTCACAATCGCCGAAACCGTTCCCTATATTTTAGTGGTTGCAATTTGCTATAGTTAGATGATTCTCTTTTGTTTTGGAAAACTTTACACGTATTAATACTGTACCTGATAATTCGCTGTGACATCACAAACACCTAGTTGTAACTTTAAACCACCCTAACTCGAAAACGGACCATCGTAGCAAGATGCGGCTTAAATATCATAGCAAGATGCGGTTTAAATTACATTTCTTTGCACTAAAACTTTCATTTTTGGGTCACACTCCCTTTAAGCAACCAGGCCCAAGTCGCCGCCCTCAAGACCACACTGCATCCAACAATCTCAACCAGGCCCAAAGAGAGCCACAAAAATGGAGGATTGGAATAACATAGCCAGACAACAGCAAAATCTAGCGGAATAATTGAAACAGCAGTTGACAAATACATGAAAGGATTCTTTAACAAGAAAGAACCAAGCCTACCTACTGCGGTAGTAATCGTCATTAACGTTAGTTGTCAGTTGAAAAAGTGGATTTACGATTTCCCCTAAATTCGGAATAAATTTTCTAAAATAATTTACTAAGCGAAACAATCTCTGCAATTCTTTTATTGGATGTTTAAGATCATTAATGGCCTTAATTTTATCATTATCTACTTTCATACCCTCACTATTAAAAATATGCCCCATATATTTCACCTCACACTTTCTCAATAGCAACTTATTTTTGTTAAATCTCATACCCTTTTCTCTTGCTCTCTCTAACACCATTCTCAATGTGTTATCATGTTCCTCCATAGTGTTACAAGCTACCAATAAATCATCAAAATATATGATTACATTTTCAATATCCCCAAAATTTTTACAATTTATTCTCTGAAAATACTCAGGTGCCAAATTTAAACCAAACGGTAGTCACAAAAATTTGTAGCAACCAAATGGAGTAGAAAATGATGTTAAAGAACTAGACTACATGGCATAAATCGTACAAGAGATAGGGCAAGGAGTGTATTATAGCATAGATATTGATAAGGAAATTCGACAGAGTCAGCTATTTGAAAGATATAGATATGCTAATGTAAAAGAACCACTCATATCACATGATATTCCTGAGTTACCTTTCCAAAAGTTAGGTTGGGGGTTGTATGAAACAGGGTGACACCAGTGGCGTACACTCGATCGACCAAGGAATGCAGATTTATACGAGAATATACAAAATTATATAATCAGATGACAATAATTCAAAAACTGTACATGGGATTAGAATCATACTAACAGGAAAGGATGAAGGGGGTGGTCAGAAACAGGGTGACGCCAGTGGCGTACGACTCAATCGAAAATCATATTTAGTAACTGTAGATTATTTAACGAAGTGGTTAGAAATTATGTTTTTAGAAGGAAAACAGTCTTGCCATGTTGTTAGTGTTTTGAAACAAATATTTGCGACACGTGAAATACCTGATGTTATAGTGTCAGATAATATGCCTTTTAATACCATGTAAATGTTTTGCGAATGAGTTTGAATTTAAATTTCAGACAAGTAGACCTATGGTTGAACCAAATCCAAGCGGCAGTAAATGACAAACTGGTCATTTTCATTACAACCTATATCAAATGTCCTCCATGCATGCGCACTAGTCCAGGTAGGGCGTTTCAACCAATAGGAAGGCTGGTGTTTGTTTACAATTTAGGTTATTAAATATCATTTACTGCCGCTTGGATTTGGAAATGGTGTAGATATCCGCGATCGAATGGAATTGTTGAGAGATTTGTGCAAACACCTAAAAATATTATTCGGAAATCAGATGATTTGTGAGTTGCTTTAATGTAACACGCCTATTACAAATCCTAAAAGGTCTCCTGCTGAACTCTTGTTTTCTAGGAAATTAGAAACTAAGTTACCTTTCCTTGAAGAACCCAGTTTTAAAATTAAAGAATTCAGGAATAAATTAGAAAATAGAAATAAATTATGCGCATAAAAAATATTATGATAAACATTCTAAGGAAAGCCAGACTTCAAAGAAAATGTTATATATAGGGATGTAAATCAGTGGCGTCCTGCAACTATACTATCCAAGCATGAAACCCCAAGATCTTACTTGATTAATAATGATTCTAATGTTTTACGGCGAAATAGTAATCATTCACGCAGCTTAGAAATTCAACATGATTTATCAAGTAGAAAAAGTAATCGCGGTGATTGTGGTCTAGAGCAGAATACACTATCTAAACATGAATCTTCAATTTTGGAACTGATAATGATGGTATTGTTGCAGAGCCCTGTATCATTGAGAATACTAGGGCAAAGAACTTTAACAGTCATCCATGAAATTCGTCAAGACCTCGGAAAGGACAAGCCAGTCACCCGATACGAATTCCTGAAGAATGATGTGCAAAAACAATGGGAACCGGTTCAACATCTCCACAATGATATTCTAATGAGTAGCATTCTCGAAGAATATTTGTCAGACCACCACGTAATCAAAAAGAAGTTCGAGAAGATAGTTGAAGAAATCGAAGAGAAAATCAGAGAGTGCAAAATGACGGATGCAGACACACCTCTCCCAGTGATAAACATCCCAACCTTCGATAGAAACTACGAGGAATGGCCAACTTTTTACGTTCTATTCAGAAAAGTTGTTCACCAAAATGACAAAATATCAAATGCCCAAATGTAACAACATCCCAAATCACATCTTCGAGGAGACGCACAAACCATCATCAGGCACCTGGCAGCAACAGAAGGAAATTATGTCACTGCGTGGAATTTACTTTAACAAAGATATCAAAACAACAGACTTATCGTATCTAAATTGGTGGACAAGATATATGATTTCCCAACAATAAGCGATGAATCAGCGCAAAAGTTGAAAAGGTTATATGACGTCATCAACGAGTGCCTAGAAGGAATCAAAAATTTGGGTTGCAACACATCATCATGGGATCCAATGATTGATAGGATTATAAGTAGAAAATGGGACGCAGAGACAAACAGATTATACGAACAAACGTTAGCGAACCACACGAGGTACCTACACTCAAAGAGATTTTTGAGTCCACAAAAAGAAGGATTCAGTCACTAGAAACCTTCAGTACTGGAAGATCAGTGAGCAGGCACATAGAAAAATACAAATGCTAAGTATGCCACGGAGATCACACAATTTGGAAATGTAGCCAGTTCATGTCCCAATCATCAGTAGACCGAATGAAGACGATAAGAGACAAGCAGCTGTGCACAAAATGCCTGAATCACGACTTCAAAGAAAAATGCATGCAATAAGTCATGTAGTATAACATACCCGGGTTCGTTCAGCAAGATTGAACGGTGTGAATTTTTATTACCTTATAAACAACAAATCTTCTGAAAAAAAAAAAAAAAAAACGAAATGAAAAACAAATAGGACCTACGTTGTGGAAACTTACTCAATTTTACTTACTGGACATGCGCCCGACATAGCAAAATTTAGGGAAATTTAAGGGAGGTTGTGATATGTAAAAGAAACGAAAAATTTGTGAAATGTCTACTTTATTGTTAAAGTGAATCATACCGTTCTCATCCTGGAACCACCGAGGGGAAAGAGCACGGCAGAGAAACCCTCGATCCAACATTCCTCAAAAATCGAAACTGTCTAATTTTAATAATAATTGTGAGTCATTAATTCAATAAAAGTTGA